AGTTGGAGCTACTGAAACTGATTCTGATGCTATTGCAATTTTCTCAAACTTTGGAAATTGTACTAATATCTTTGCTCCAGGTAACAACTTAAAATTGCATTAAGGTGAAATCGTGGAATTGATCCTTTATTTAAATATTCAAATTTAATTATATTACATAGTTTTTTTTTTGAAAAAATTTTATTAACTTGATATATTACAGAAAGTATTCATATTTTAAAAATATTCGAGATTTAAATAATAAACTCGATTCCACAAATCAGCCATAATGAACAATAAATATTTTTATATATACAATAATTGATTGTTATCTTATAACTAGGTACCCTTATCACTGCAGCTGGAAATCAGAGTTCTACCGGTCTTATAACATTTGACGGAACTAGTCAAGCATCCCCTCACGGTTTGTGATTATAAATGTTCTATTAACTGAATTTTTTTTATATAAATTAATATTCATCTCAAGCTTTCTAATTAATAGTTGCTGGAACAGTTGCTTTAATTATTGCATCTAGTGGAAATAAATCTCCTGATCAAATGAAGAAATTTCTCGATAATTTATCGACAAAAAATGTAGTAAAAAATCTTGATAAAGTTACTCCAAATAGATTTGTACGTGTTCCACATTCCTAATGATCCTCTTACACATCCCATTTATATATTACTCATTTTATTATATAAGTTTATTTTTTATTTATATTTGAAATGCCCTAAATACAATAATTTAATTAATTCTATATATAATATATAACTTTGAAACTTTAATATAATCTTTGATATAAGAATGTCAAGATCTTTTTTGTATTGAGAAACCTACGAAAGATTTATTTATTGAACTGTAATAAAATCCCTTTCATAATAAAAAATGTTTATTTGATTTCATTTTCAGGGTTAGGGTTTAAAATAAAGTTATAGGTCAGGTGATTATGTAGTAAAATCACTTAATGTTAACATAGCGGGCTTTAAATCTGATTGGACAATATATTTGATGATAGACCGAAATGTTACATATGTTTTACATAGTGACGTAACGTTTTCAGGTACGTACAAAAATGGTTTGGCAGCCATGGATACGACTTGGCA